AAAGTAATCGAGTCCAACATGTTCGAAGGGTCTCGATTGCGTTACCCCTCCTGGTGATAACTCGCTTCATTTTGATAACGTCCAGGGTAAGTTATGCATTTTTTTCACAATGAAGGCTCCGCGCATTCCTACTGAATGTGCGAACGGCCTTAGCCCACAGTTGAGGCAAAGGCATTGTTCTTTTCGGGAAAGCAGAGCTTTCTAATTTCTCTGATTGTACAGCATTCCGTAGATTGGTGGCCCGACCGCTTACAGTAGGTGCACGTGGGTTTGTAGCCACGGATTGGCTGATTGGGTCTTTTATTGAGCTTTCCTGTATCGCGTTTATCTTGTTTCGCGTTTGTTCGACATATTCTCTTCTTTGGAGTATGCCGCTAAGCTCTTTCTGCATTTTTGCCCATGTCCAATCCTTTGGATTTTCCAGATCGGCTCGTTTTTCAAGTGTCCGTGTCTGGATATCCTCATCAAATTTGCTGAAGATGATGTTTAACAGCATGCGCTGGTCAACTTCTTGGCCTTTATTGCCAATTGGCTCATCATCGCTGTTATTTCTCCAGTAATTGAATTTGAGACTTGGTATTTGTTCCTTCAGCTTTGCATTTCTGAAGGTCGGCTAGAAGATCTTCAATTCCCGAATCACTGTCCCCATATTTCTTGATGAGACAGGCTATTGCTTCTGGGTAGTTCTCTGCAGATACTTGATATCTTGAAGTGAGCTCTCGTGCATCTCCTTCCACGTATTGTCATAGGTAGCTGAATTTCAGCATTGGGCTGATATCCTGCTGGTGAATGTTTGCAGAGAAAATTGTCCAGAAGTTATTCCACTCCGCTCTTGTCCAAAGAATTTAGGTATCTCAAACCGCGGTAGATTCGGGGTCATCGTGTTGCTGACTGGATTATGGCTGCTTGAAGGTCGGCCATGAGTTGGTCGGTTTCTGCCTTTTTGCCAGTGACTTTCGCACAGAATTGGTCCGCTTCGTTGGTCACCTCGATTGCCATCTCGAGATATTCTTCGAAGGACGCTGATTCTGCTTCCTGTTTCGTTTCGTCCAGCTTCTCGTATGCGGTGTGGAGTTTGGTGATAGACTCGTTGACGCAAGTTCTCATTGCTTCGATCCTTGATCTTGTCGATTCTATCCTCGCTCTGGTCGTTTTCAGGAATTCCGAGCTTGTCCAAGGTGGTTTCCTGTTGAATGACGGTCGGCGCAAGCACTTCTTGTGAGCCGTTGATGGCTTCTTGCAAAGCGTTGCAAGCCCTTGTGAGACGAGTTTTTGAAGATTTCCACATTTTGGAAGACAGTACGAGATGAGAAGGGAGTAGTAAAATATTGTGAAATCGCGGAATAAATTCAAGTCTTTTATTGATTTTTCTGGCACCGAGCTCTAATTAGCCGATGCACCATAAGGTAAAAGGATTGTATACTGAATGAATGAGAATAGATCAAACTTGTCTTAGTACGGTGGTCCGGTGATGTTTACTTCCAATTGATTACCCTCTTTGGGTTACCTACCTTCTTTCTGGCAACAGGCCACTCCGAATACAGTCGAGATTGGCAGCGGCTTGTCTTGAACTACTGCGGTTGGATCTCCCTGAGCTTCTTCGGAACTGTTGATGTTCCACTGCACGAGCTAAGTAGTCTAAATAGCAGTAATATTGTAATATGTAATCAATAGATGGATGACAGGTATAGAGGACTAGACCGTCCAAACAGTAAACACCTTAAGATCTTGGTAATTGAATCATGTACTGCGATTAAACTAATTCAAAAATGGTGACTATAATATGAGATGTACGTAGGATGTCCATGAGAAGATTTAGAAATCCCTAGCTTGAAGAGATCTAGGACGAGATACAGTTCAGTAAACATGGTGCGATTTTCGCAATGAGTGAGGATCAAAGGCACAGAAACAGGCACATGGATTACATGGCCTTATGGCATTTTTAGGTAGTTTAATTTAATAACAATATTTACAGTGGAAATCGGGCCTCATAGCATTCAAGCGGATGCCCGCGCAGCAGTGGTGCTGAAGCTTCTTGCACAAAGAACGTTGAAGGTGTGAAAACTCCGATTTCTGAAGAAATTTTTTCCACTCCTTTTTTGGCATACAGAGGGCCGCTCAGAAAAAATGGAGCCTAGTTTTGTACTTCATGCATGTGCCCCTTTATCATGCAAAAAAACCGTTTTCAAAAAGGGCTTCATGTCCTGAAATGCTTTCCTGGAAGTACATCTCACTGTTCCATTTTTTGGTGTTTTTTTAAGGGAAAATATCCTGAACTAATCTTCATCATTCATTTCAAGAGTAGAAGCTCGTCCGAGGGGACAGACTAAACAATGTGAAAAGTTGATATTCAAAGGAAAGTTTTGCTTTGGAAACCAAGCTACCACAGCATAACCGTCAATCGAAAGAGAAAATTTTAAAAGAGCGACGCACTTGAAGCATTTAATAGTGGAATGTTGAGCAGATGTCGTGACTAAGTAAAGGAGGGGTGCACAGAGTTCGAGTTACTTGCCGGTTTGGCCTCTACTCGTTTTCTGACCTTCCCAATTTCTGAGCCTTTGATTCAGCCAGTTCTCGATGTGTATAAAACTGATACAGTGTATTTTGTGATTAGCAGCAGGCAGTTCCTTTCTTGTGAGTAAATCGGGAGTACGTGAAAAGCATGGCGATCTTGAAGGCGATACGATTTATATAGAAAAGAAAATCGACACCACTCATCAAACAATCTAATAGAATGCGTGGCGCATCCTAAAACACGGATTGATTCACGTCAGATGGGAGTGCGGTTTTGTCTTTTCTTCTGACCATTCTGCCAACTTGCCTTATTCATGCCGATTTGGTTCTAAATTTCCTGTTAAAGGAATCTTCCACGGAAAAAGCTCCGCCCTCATTACCACAGAAAACGATACCTTAAAGGAATCTTCCACGGAAAGAGTGATCATTTTGTCTTGTGTGTAGGATTAGTATTATCGAAACTAACGCTTATGTTCCGTTCTTTTTGCTATGCTCATGAGGCTAGGGGCCTAAGGGGTATCGTTTTCTCTAGGGTAATGGAGGCGGAGCTTTTTCCGCGGAAGATTCCTTTAAAGGACATTTGTATTCACCTTGCACGTTCTCGCTGGCATCTTGGCATTTGTTCTGGAATCGTTGGGGCGTCATCGGTAAGGAGCCTCTATTGGAACAGTTTTTTCAGTAAATGACATTAATACTTTCGCGGAAGCTGCGCCGAAAACAGCGACTGCCTGCTTGACTCCCTACCAAGCCTAATTCTTTCTCAGGGCGTCCACAACGTCCTTTGGTGGGCTCAGCATGGGGTGCGAACTCGGAGACCGGTTCCTTGTCAACGGCAGTGATAACGATTTGATAAGTCACCGATGTGTAATGTAGTCGTGACAGCAAAGAAGCAGTTAACCTTGCTGTAGATGTAAAGGCCACCGGGGCGGAAATTCGCCACCAAACATGTGCTTATTGTTACGATGAAAATCAATAGTCGACGACCTATTACAAGGAAATGTCTAGTGTATATAATCCTACCCAGCAGGCGACATCCGAAGTCACTGACAACATGTGATTGGCATGGTATTTCAACACCTCGCGAATTCCGTTTGCGCCACTCAAGGTCGTTACTACGGAAAGGATGACGTTTTTTTCTACTGCACACTTTGATTCGTCTGTAGGAATTCCGCTGTTTAAACGTGCCAAGCATAGGTTCGCAGTGAAGAGAGTGGCCTTTGGTTGAGCCATGCACTCGTCATCTATCCAAAAACAGGAGACTGCATGAAGTACATTGAACGTTGCCCGTAATGTAGCTCCTGCAGACGATACGAGGAGCGTATTCTGAGGGTTGGTTAGACCAATCATTGGTAGCAAAGGGAAAATGAGGTTACCAGTCTTTGCAGCCGCGGTTGACGAGGCACCATTCGTTTTCGACTTTGAGCCGCAAGCCTTCAATGGAATTCCAGAATATCTGTCAATTGTTCCTATTTTTATTGGTTTGCTCTTTTATTCAAAACCTTGAAAAAGCAAAAGTAAAAAAGGAAGTAAAGTAAAGAAGAAGGAGCAGGCTTTTCTTTTTTACCTTACTTCTTTTTCATTTCTAAGTTATCAGTGGGATTTTTGAACGACCAAGTCTTAGATCTACATCAACCCTGAATTGAAATAATAAAGCTCAGGAAGCCTTCAATACCACGTAAGTAAAAAAGTCTGGAAAATCATCACTCTTAAACTCCAGACACAAGTATTTTCAAGTATGGATCGAAAAGGCTTTTATCTGACTGCTTTTTGATCCATTACTCACCCGTAGTCACATGTGAGTCCGACGGTGAGAGACGCGCGCTGTTGTGACGCGGTCCAATGCGTGTTTGCTCTGATAGCTGGCAATCAAAAAACAATATCGAGTAAGTGAAATAACATGGGCTGCAAAAAAGCCCATAATAAGTTCCGCAAGCCACCATTGATGGCTACCACTTTATTTAACCATAAATTTTATTCGAGCCTGTGATACTCAAAATTCCGAAGACAAAGCACCAAACTTCTTTATTAAAATCAGAGAATTCGGCAGCAACTCAGCATACACCGGAAAGCTGACGTGCGTTGGCAGGATAGGAAATGGCTTGAAACACGTGATTAAGGAAAGGGGAAAAGAGCGAGGAATCGGATCTGAGAAGACGCTATACAACGTGATACTGCAGCTAAGTACCGTAACCCGGCGCTAAAAGCTAAAATATGTAGAGAAATGGAATCTAGAGCAAGACAAACACAACTAGACACAAACACATAAGAAGAATACAAAATAACGGCCCTGTATCAAAATGAAAGCGTGAACGAAGCAGTGTTAAGTTGGGAAAGTGACAGCGAAAGGGTGTTCGTGCGTGCGTGTCGACGCGCGTGCACACACACGCCTACTATGAACACCTAAGCGCCCAGAGGAAACACTTAAGGACTATATATGACGAGAAAAAAGAATCCCGAGAAAAGAATCCGAGTCCAATCCGAAACATCTACAATTTGCGGAATCGTCGACGCATCTTGCGTAGCTTGAAACGCCGTCGTCGTTTCGAGCCTTTGCCCCACGCGCCTGGAACGAACGACTTAGTGTGCCAATGTTCGAGCCTTGATGGCTTCAATTATCAAGAATCCTCCGAGAAGGAAGAAAATGCCTTAATAAAATCTTACCTATGACGAAACTCTCGATTTCACAATGATTTTCGCCTCTGAGAATGCGGAACAGACCGTCTTCACCCCATTGTCGTCCCCACGAATTGGCTGCCAGCCAATAGGGAATTCGCACGTCCTGTTGAATGGTCCACTCCCCATCTGAAGACAGCAGAAGTGCGAGAATAACTTGTGGAACAGCAAAGCATCTGCAACTCGATGTTCCTAAAAATCAAATAGCTGAATGTATCTGGGGAAAGGAGGAACCGGCTGTCGGGATGCGGGTTTGTCTGGATGTGACAGGGAGCGTGTAAACAGCGGAATTTCTTTAGGACTGAGGGGTTAGTTGCTAATGGTGTTGGGGGGGCGCGGCAGCGTGGCGGGGAGAACGGCCTGGCTAACGAGACTAGTGTAGTTTTTTTCGGTGTTGTATAACTGTAGCTGCGTGTGTTGCGGCGCCGGCAGGTCGCGCGACGTTGCGAATGTTTCACAAGGGAATGCTGGGTGGTGGAGCAAAACTGGGTGTTCTTTTGTTTTGATTTGTGTTTGTGACGCAATCTTGTTTCCAGACCAGGAGATCCTGTGAAACTGGTGAGTTTTCTTTTCATAAGTTTCAAACACCATGGCTTGACATTTGTACACTACCCTGCTCACCTGCTGGAATCAGGTGGCTTGTCGAATAAGTCTCGAAACGAATCTCATTGTGATACAGGTACCGACGGCTTGGTCTTCTGATTGACTTTAAGCACGCGTAGACCCTTCGTTACAACCCTCAACCCTACTCTAGAAAGCGGTCACGTGTAGTGGGGCGACTCTGAAATACGTCTGGATGGGGCTTTCAACGAACTGATGATGTGCAGTCGTATAGGGGTGAAGACTGTGCCTCGCTAGAATGGTGCGAAAGTTATGAACTAGTGGTGATCCAGTGTACAGTCGATATCCGAAAGTTGGGGTAGGCGTGTCACCGGAAGTGACGTGCACTTGATAGAAGTTGCGTGGATAAGCTGTTGCCAGCATGCTTTGCTGATATCCAGCGATGTATGTTGGAAGCAGCTTATCCACATAGCTTCTATCAAGTGCACGTCACTTCCGGTGACACGCCTACCCCAACTCGGATATCGAGTATACGTAGTGTTTTAAATGAAATCAATAATGGTTCCAAATGAAAACATCTAAAAATCGTCCACATCAAACCATTTTCTTACCCGAGTACGCGAACAGAGTGATATCCCTGTCCAGTGAAGCCGGAACCTTTCTGAGCAGCAAGTTCTGTGTGTTGATAGACGCCACCGGCGTACATGAAAAAGTCCTCATGCACCAGGAAAGTTGCTTGGACAGGACCATTTGTGATGATCTCAGCCATGATGTCTTCTACCCTGAAGTGGCTGATTCAGAGCGGTAGGAATTTTTCGAGTAATTTCGAAACTAGTTGGGTTGGAAAGGGCGAAGATGAGGATGAGGTAAGCGCCCCATTCATCAGCAGACGACTATTTTACATTACTTTCGCTTGTGAGGATATAGGAATTAGTACATCAGCTGGTCCCTTTAGCCAATGTATTTTCGAGTATCCATCCAAATACTATAGCGATTCTGAATCGAAGTCGAATGCGTGGCGCACCGCGAAAGGAACTAATCAATTGCTGCCCTTGTTCGTTTTTCTTCTAATCAAGAAGATAGCCCCTTTGAAATCCTGGCTCTCACATCTACCCGTAAGTCCCTGCAAAAAAATTGGTTTCGCAGATCACAGCTGACTGTCAAAACCCTGGCTGGTTGTAGGGCAGGTTTCCGTGCCGTATATGGTCTATCATCACAGTCTAATCCTTGGTTGTCAGAGGTTTTTTGAAGGGGTCAGGTGTAGTTAGGATGGAAACCTGTCACAGAAGACATCATCACAACTCAAGAAGCCATAAATCATACGATTAACCGTAAACGGTAATCGATTGCTGTTTGACTTTGAAGTTACTGTGCGGGTGTGACCGCTATGGCAATTACTCCCGTTGAAAATGCTCATTTTACCATCAATTTAAACTAAGCTGCTTAGAGGCGGAAAAAGCAGTGCGGAATCAGATTTGCGTAGAAATTAATGTTTATAAGGAAGGTCGAGGTCAGGTGAAGAATTTCGGAATGTTAATTCCTCGTTACTACACTAGTACGTCCTTCAGTGGAAATCGGAACGGAAGGGCTAAGGCACTTGAACTTAACACGGTAACTGGTCAAGTTCAAAGGGGTACAATATGCACTTGGATGTTTTAATATAGGTTATAAGTATAAGTTCTAAGTTATAGTAGGAAGTAAGTTCACCATAATATCATCACAACTACGACTTATAGTGGTGGCCAAGTGTTCAACGGT